CCGCGTAGCAGGAGATCTGCCGGCAGATTGACCTGGCCCACTGCGGATGGAAAGTGGCCGCCCGGTTGGATCGGGCGAGAAGTCGGGACCTGTACTCGGTACACGCTCTGAGTTGTGAGCTACAAAAGTTACAAAAAAAGAAAAAAAGATCATAATTGTGTGGTCATGGCTAACGCGAAAGGGAAGGTGGTGACAATAGGAAGCCACAGCTAACAAAACATCCTTACAGCCAAGGCACGCGATAACTATGGACGGCTTACGTAGCAGGGAGAATTATCAATGTTGCTAACCTCTGAGAAGAGCACAGCCCCTTGGTAAGCATCGATTGCATAGGGATGAAAGTCTTTCGGGGGTAGGGAGTTGAAAAAGTCAGTTCCGTCTGGTTTGCGTCGAGGGTGTGTTGATAAAAGACTGTCGGAACTGCCTGGCAAGATAGGGTTTATGGCAAACCACGGCTCGCCATTCAATGAGATGGACTCGATGCATCTGGTTACCCAATTCAGCCAGTAAAGTCGATCAGCTGAGGAGAGAAATGATCCACATAGATGCATACAGGAGGAAGATAGGATAAAAGCTGTGATTTTTAAACACTCGCCATCTTTTGAAGTAACAAAACGCAACAACCATAGTTAAATTTTAAGTGCCGTTAAAGAATATGAAAAGTTCCAGTCAAGCAAAGGGAACATGAATAAATAGCAATCACTTTTATCAATGCCGATTTTTTTGTTTTTATGATTTTATGATGGAACATAGTGACACTTAGAGGCCCACTAAACTCCGCCTACCGCTTATTACCTTTTTTCTTCGATAAAAACAGCTTGAAGTGGTAGAGAACCGTACATAACTCGATGAAGTAATGGACAGTAGTGAAAAAATGAGAACTATACTGATGAGTTAGATTCGTTGCTGCTGGGATGCAGCCAGTAAATGTTCGAGTAACACCCCTTAGAATCTGATTCAGTGACCAGATTACACACTGATCAGACTTTTGATAGCATAATCATCCGTTTGTAGGTCCACGGCACCAATGACCATTGTCCTCCATTGCAGCTGGGAGGTGAACTCCTAAGTGGTGTAGGGACATATATATCAACTCCATGGACCGGGTTCCGTCGGCCAAAATTTCCAGTAAGCTACACCCAGGACCAAACCAGGAAGAGATTATCTCCTGGGAGACTTCGCCTTTAGGTTGGCATTGCAAATAACCGACCTAAATCGGTCGGCAGACAAAGGGGCGCAGTGGGCTGCTTGTGCTCCTGAGCAACTACAGTTTTCGTTGAGGACGCAATCGGTAAGATGATTTTGGAGAAGTGAGAGCAAGTACGAATACTGAAATACTTCTGGGATATGCATATCTTCCGAGCGTACAGGACATATCGTGTATCAGCAAAGAAAGATTGGCTCTATTTTCGAAATGTTTGCATACTGACCACATTAATTTTAACGGGATACGACAGAGAGGGCACACACCTGGTCGAGTAATAATAATTATAAATTGTATATTATTATTACTCGACCAGGTGTGTTCCCTCTTTGTCGTATCCCGTTAAAAGTAATGTGACCAGTATGCAAACATTTCGAAAATAGAGCCAAGTACGTAATCGCTTTAATCTTGCTTTTATCCCCTTGGCAGTAAATGCAACCCAAGGTACCAAAAGTGGTTATACATAGGAAATTTCACTATCAATCGCAGACAGTCCTCTCCTAACCAAAAAAGCACAAACTATCTCAAATAAATACCTGCATTACGAATTAAAATTAAAATTTTCCCAAAAATATGCTTAGCAACCCAATGCCTGCACAGGCCTCACACGGAACGGTTGAAGTGAAGGTAAGAAGCTACAATTGTTGGAGGCCGATGATGTTTAATTACATTTCGGATTTGAGTAGCGGTAAAGCCTGACATACAGATTCTTTCAACGGCGGAAGTAGCTGCATACTAACGACCAAAGTTGAGTTAACTAAACCCCTTTTTATCTTTGTCGGCTGAAAAGGGTTGTCAGGCAACGAACGAACGAACGCAGGAACATAGTGCTTTGTCGGTACTGTATGCTGCTCACCGCGTGCGATTATATGACTGTGGGGGGAGGGGGGGATAAGGATGGACTCACTGGTATAGTCTAACGAAAGACTCATGACAATGCCGACGCCGTTCCAAATCAGTCGGTGGTTGCGACCGTCCAAACCTGCAGAGTAGATGTTGAAACGTGTATTCTGTGCACCGTCCAGCCAAAAGAGGAGACTGCAAAGGAAGGCGGAATTGGTGGGTGAATATTTACGTGCGAAAAATATGCGCGAACGCACAAACACACACACACACACACAAACAACCAGGCACCGCAAAGGAATTCAGGCAGACT